AAAGAAAGAAAGAAAGAAAAAAGAACAAAAAAATAAACAGAATAAAGATAAAGAAAGAAAAACAAATATTAGATTAATGAGAAAAAAGAAGGCGATAGAGAAAGAAAAAAAAGAAAAACGAAGAAAAAAGCAAAAGAATAAAAATCAACAATAAACCAAAGATAAAAGGAAGAAAAATTAACAGAAAATGAAAGAAAAAAAATGAGGAAAAATAAGAAAATAAGGAAGGCGATAAAAAATAAGGAAAATTGAATAGTGATACTGAGGAAGAGAAAAAGAAAAGGAAGGGACGTTAAAACGAAGAAATAATGATTAATGAAGCAAAGAAAAAGGAAAAAAAGAAAGAAGGAAATGAAGAAAGAAAGAAAGAAAGAATGAAAGAAAGAAAGGAAGGAAGGAAGGAAGGAAGGAAGGAAGGAAGGAAGGAAGAAAAAAGATAAAAAGAAAGGACAGAAAGAATGAGAAAAAGAAAGAAAGAATGAAAGAAAGAATGAAAGAAAGAAAGAATTAATGAAAGAAAGAAGGACAGAAAGAAAGAAAGAAAGAAAGAAAGAAAAAATGGATGAACCAATTAAAGAAATAAAGAAAAAACGTAAGGAAGATGATAAGGAAACGAATAATGAAGCAAAAGAAAGTCAACGAAAAATGAAACAAAGAAAGCCAGAAAGAAAGGCAAAAAGAAAAAGAAATGACTATTAGAAAGAAGAAAAGAGAGAAAATGATTAAAGATGCAAAGAAAAAGTAAAAGAAAGGAGGAAACGAACAACAACAACAACAAAAAAACAAGGAAAGAAATAGCTGTCTATATTTCTGTGATGGGGTCTTATGTACATTATTTTATTATTCGGACTATTGTCCTCATCTTTGTCGCCATATTTATTACAACGTTTCGGCCGTTGTACGCTCCGGGCCTTCTTCAGGTGGTTGGAATTTCGAACTGAACCCTTTATTTCGCTCACTGGGGTAGACAGTTCTAGTTCCACGTGCCATGTTTGATGGATGTCAGTCACCTATTATTAATTTTCCCTCTGAAAGTTCTCCACTGCCTTAACCGGGTATTGGACTCACACACTTTCGGTCCTGTCACTGGATCTAACCAACGCCTTTATCCACTGTGCCACGTGTCCTTGAAAGAAATAGCATCGAAAACGAATCAAAACTGAATATAAGAATAATACTGTTGAAATACATAACGAAAGAAGGAAAGAAGATAGCTTTAGAAAAATATAACAAAAATATAATAAAAATATAACAAAAATATAATAAAAATATAACAAAAATATAAAAATATACTAAAAATATAATAAAACTATAACAAAAATATAATAAAATTATAACAACCATATAATAAAAATATAACAAAATTAATTAATTAAAAGGGAGCAAAAATAAGACGAGAAAGAAATGAAAAGAGAAAGCAATGAGATGGTATTAAGTCTTTTAGTCTTTTTATATTAAAATAAAGAGACATCTTAGAGTTCAAAAAAATAAAGGAGGAGATAATGAAAGAGAAAGAAAATACGGAATAAAGGAAAGAAAGAAATGATAGAAAAAGTTTTTTTCTTCCTTTATTAAGAGGATCCTATTAGAAATAAATTATTTAATGTCGAGAATATATATATATATGTGTGTGTGTGTATGTGTGTGTGAGTATGTGTGTGTGTGTATGTATATATGTGTGTGAAAGACAAGAGAGAGTGTGTATATATTTATATGTATGTGTGTGTGTGAGTCTATATATATATATATACATATAGATAGATATATACGAATGGAAGACTGATATCCGGAGGATCCATCTACGAAAATCTGGAGACGGGATGCTGAATTTTATATATATATATACATATATATATATATATATATATGTATGTATGTATGTATGTATGTATGTATATGTGTGTGGGGTGATTTCCGTGTGTGTGATCCAAGAGAGAGTGAGTACATCTGTGATGTGTGTGAGTCTATATATATATATATATATATATGGAAGAGTGATTTCCGGAGGGTCCATGTATGAAAATCTGGAGACGAGATGCTGAATTTTAATGTCTAATAAACACACACACACACACATACATACATACATATATATATATATGTATGTATTTATATGTGTGTGGGGGGTGCGTGCGAGCGTGTGTATGTGTATGAATATATGTGTGAGAGACAAGAGAGAGTGAGTACATATTATTTATATGTATGCGATGTGTGTGTGTGTGAGTCTATATATATATATATATATATATATATATATATATATAACAAATGGAAGAATGATTTCCGGAGGGTCCATGTACGAAAATCTGGAGACGGGATGCTGAAATTTAATGTCTTATAAACACACACACACACACACACACACACACACACACACACATATATATATATATATAGACGTGTGTATATGTGTGTGCGTGCGTGCGTGCGTGCGTGCGTGTGTGTAGATGTGCGTGTGCGTGCGTGCGTGCGTGTGTGTGTGTGTGTGTGTGTGAGTATATTAACATGTTATATTTTCTGGGAGAGAATTCAGCAGTTCGTTAATAATAATAATAATAGCTGGTCGGTAGTATCTGAATATACCTCTCTACCAGGGTGGCTAGACAATTCTTGCTGCAGACGCCTGCTCAGGCACATTTGTGTTTGTTCCACACCCACAGAACCCACCTGTGGTTTATACTGCAACTATGGTGAGCGGAACTTAGTTACAATTTCTTTGGAGAGTGCGCGTTATCTAGCATGATCAACAGTCTGACACATGGCCAGCACACTCATACCCTCGGTCACGATGACTTGTGACTTCCTGCTTGCACAAGCATCGGCGACCTCCAAATAATTCCATCCATGGTGAGATTCGAACCCGTTTGTTTGGAAAGTGAACTTGCTCAGTATAGTTGCAGTATAAACAAATCACTTGTGAGCACTGTGGGTAGTGAACATGCACAGATGTGCTCCAGCAGCTGACTGCGATTGCCGAACCACCTCAGTAAACGAAAGTAGACGGCGATTAACATATATGGGTGGGGCCAGCAGAAACCGTTTAGATCTCACCCCTCACAGGATAACCCACGCGCATACGGAACAGAATCTAAAAAACAGGATACGCTCTTAACTTCTTTCTATAATTCTAAGATGAGGCATTGTAACTATTTACAATATTTACATTGTTCTCATCTTTATTCTCATATTCACGACGTTTCGGCCGTTTTACGGTTCGGACTTCTTCAGGTGATATACGTTGAAATTTCGAACAGAACCCTTTATTTGATGCACTGGCGTAGATTGTTCTAGTTCCACGTTCCATGCCCTTTCTGGATGGTTACCAGTAATGTTGAATACTGGAGAAAACAATAACAAAAAATTGTAATAGGAACTCTGGTAAAAATAGTATCAGAGATTTAAAATCTCAAAATTCATTCACTGATATCCCCTTGTACACTTGGCCTAGTAACTTCCAATGACTTGAAACAAAGAGTTGTGAGTTCAATATCTGACCACAGCAGACGTGATCAAAAACATGGAGAGTTGAGTTATTAAAGGGAAATAACTGAAACAGAGATATACAGAAGAGGCTTGGCACGTGGAACGAGAACAATCTCTCCCCGGTGGACTAAATAAAGCATTCGGTTTGGAATTCCAGCGTATATCACCTGAAGAAGGCCGGGGCGTGAATATGACAATGAAGAACCTTCAATCCGTCGTTGACTGGGGCAAGAAATGACTGGTAAACTTTAATGCCTCAAAAACAAAACTGTTCACTTTTACCCACCACAGAGAACCCTCGTTGCCTCCCACTAGAATGTCTGATGCTCAACTCCACGAGAGCGCTTCTCTGCGACTGCTTGGTCTCACACAGTCCGCTGACCCGAGATGGAACAAATACATTGAATCAATAGCTTCATCTACCGCAAGGAAAGTTAGATCTCTGTGTCGAGCCAGAAAGTTCCTTCAGATCTATAAATCAACCATTCGCCCTTGCATGGAATACTGCTGCTATATATGGTCTGGAGCCCCCGATGTTCATCTTAAGGTCCTCGACAAAATCCAGAGACGGATATGTAACGTTTTTGAGTCTTTATCTGACATCTCGTCTACAGTCACTTTCTAGCAGACATACCGTCGCTTCCCTCTGTCTTTTCTACAAATTCTTTCCCGGTAACTGCTCCAATGAGCTGTTTTCGCTGGTTCCCAGACTTCATGAATTTAAGCTTTCTACTAGGCTGGTATCTAGCTCTCACCCATTCACTGTCGAAACTGGTTAGATCAATGTAGCCGTCTCTTCTACTCCAATAGCTTCATGTCTCGCACTTCCCGTGTGTGGGACTCCCTTACCCTTACTTGCTTATAATCTTCAAATATTCAAATGCAATGTCAATCGACATCTCCAGATTCCTTGATCTAATTCTCCGTTCTTCTCTTCATCTTTTCCTCTATCACGCTCCTTTACAATTACTCCCACTGTTTGCCACCCCTTGCATGCTAGTGGCACTCCCACTTGGGGTGAAATGTTTAAAAAAAAAAAGAAAGGAGGACAACAATAGGCCATGCCCTGTAGAGATCAGCTTAGTTTGCCGCGTCTTCAATAAGCGTTTCCAGTAACTTGCTAGCTTCAGTAGCTATTTTCGTTCGATGGATCAAACTTGCCAGCGACTGTCATATTCTTTTACCGAGACAACAGTCGTCAAGCATGCTTGCATGCAGGTAGGTATGTGCAATCCGTGGCAAAATTTTGGTCGGTGCAAGATTAATCGACATTAGAAGAGAATTCGATGCAAAGATAATTTTTACATTCCTTAAAAGTTGGTTGAACGTAATCAGCCAAGAATTACGAAAGCCCAAAATAGAAATAAAGAAAAAGGAAAGCTAAGAGGAAATAAAAGTCAAAACTGCTATAAAAGGCACAGGAAATAAATGAGACGCCATTTAAAAGTTCACTTTCCAAATTTAAGGCGTTCTTGTTGCTGTTTTAATTTCTTTTTTGATTGTTTTTTTACACGTTCATGTCCATTATTCCTTTTGCAAAACAGGTTTTCATTATTTCATTTACGGTTTTTTTTCTTTTCTTTATTCTTTCTTCCTTTTCCTTCAAACTTAATTTTTTTTGTTTCATTTAGACTTAGTTTCTTCGTTTTTTCTTTCTTTTTTCTTTTCTTTCTTTCTTTTCTTTAGACACTTTATTCGTTCTGTTTCTTCTTTTCTGTTTTCTTTCTTTCATTATTTTTTTCTATCTTCCTTCTTTCAGTGAGTATCTTTGTTCTTTTTCTTTATCTAGTTTCGTAATTTCTTTTATTTAGGCAGTACGTTCTTTTTTTCTTTTCTTTCGTTCTTTCCTTTTTCTTTCTTTCTTTTATTTAGACTATAAGTTTTTTTCATTTTTCTATCTTTCTTTTTTCTTTCTTTCTACCTTTTATTTAATCAGTCAGTTTAATTGTTCTGTTTCCATCTTTCTTTCTATAATTTCTTTCTTTTTTATATAGACTGTGAGTATCATCGTTCTTTTTCTTCTTTCTTATTTTCATTCTTTTTTTTTATACTTCCTTTCTTTTTTCTACATTTTTTTCTTTTTTTTAGCCAGTGAATATATTCGGTCTTTCTCTTTCTTTATTTTTGTAAAATCTTTCTTTTATTTAGACAGTGAGTATTTCTTTTTCATTCATTCTTACCATTTTTCTTTCGTTCTTTCTTTCTTTTGTCTTCTATTTAGACAGTGAGTATTTACGTTCTTTTTCTTTCATTTTTCTTTTATTTAGACAGTGAGTTTATTCTTTTTCCTTTTTCATTCTTACTTCCTTTACTGTCTTTCTCCGTTTTATTTAGAAAGTGGGTATCTTCATTCTTTTTCTTTTATTGTTCCTTTTTTATACCATACTTTCTTTCTCCCTTTTATTTAGAGACTGAGTTTCTACGTTCAGTTTCTTTCTTCCCATCTTTCTTTCTATACTTTCTGTCTTTCGTCCTTTTTATTTAGACAGTGAGTTCATTCTATCTTTTACTTTCTTTCTTTTTTCTTTTATTTAGACAGTGAGTTTCATTTTTCTCTCTTTTTTTACTTTCTTTCTTATATTCTTTCATCGAGTTTCTTCATTCTTTTTCTATCTTTCATTGTTTAATTTCTTTGTTCCTTTTCTTTAGACAGTGACTTACTTCGTTCTTTGTCTTTTTACTTCTTTACATTCTTTCTTTCTTTTATTTAGAGAGTGAGAAACTTTCCTCTTTTTCTTTCTTTCTTAAGTTTTTGTTCCATTTATTTAGACAGTGAGTATCTTCGTTCTTTTTTTTTTACTTTCTTTCTTTCCTTTCTTTCTTCGTTCTTTCTCTTTGTTTCTTTCTTTACAATCTTTAATTCTTTCTTTTATTTCGAAAGTCAATCTCTTTGGTCTTTTTCGTTCTTTCTTACGTTCTTTCTTTTTTTTCCCTACCTTCTTTTTTCCTTTTCTTTAAACAGTAAACATTTTCTTTCTTTCTTTCTTTCTTTCTTTCTTTCTTTCTTTCTTTCTTCTTTCTTTCTTCTTTCTTTCTTTCTTTCTTTCTTTCCAATCGTCACACCACCATTTCTCTCTTCCTTTCCTTCCTTCTTTCTTTCTTTTATTGAGACAGTGAATTTCTTCGTTCTTTCTCTTTGTTTCTTTCTTTACAATCTTTAATTCTTTCTTTTATTTCGAAAGTCAATCTCTTTGGTCTTTTTCGTTCTTTCTTACGTTCTTTCTTTTTTTCCCTACCTTCTTTTTTTTCCTTTTATTTAGACAGTGAACATTTTCATCTTTCTTTTTTTCTTTCTTTCTTTCTTTCTTTCTTTCTTTCTTTCTTTCTTTCTTCTATTTAGACCGAGAGTTTCTTTGTTGTTTTCTTCCTTTCTTTACTTTCTTTCTTCATTTTATTTAGACAGTTTCTCTCTTCGTATTTACTGTTCCTTTCGATCCTTTCTTTCTTTTATTTAGAAAGTGAGTTTATTCGTTTTTCTTCTTTCTTCCTTTTTTCTTTTATTTATACAGCGAGTTTCATTTATTCTTTTTCTTTTTTTTAAATTTAGACATTGACTTCGTTTCGTGAGGATCTTCGTCTCTTTTTCTTTTTATCTTTCTTTACGTTCTTTCTTTCTTTCGTTTAGACAGTGAGTTTCTTCTTTCTTTATTTCTTTTTCTTTATTTCTTTTTTCTTTCTTTCAGTCTTTCTTTCTTTCTTTTATTATAAAGTGATTTTCTTCGTTTTTTTCTCTCTATCTTTCTTTCTTTACATTCTTCCTTTATTTCTCTGACCGTCAGTTTAATTTCTTCTTTCTTTCTTTCTTTCTTTCTTTCTTTCTTTCTTTATTTATTTTCTTTACTTTCTTTCTTTCTTGTTGACGGTGAGGATCTTCGTTCTTTTTCTTTGCTTACTTTCTTTTATTTAGACAGTGAGTTTCTTCATTCTTTTTCTTGCTTTCTTTCGTTCTTTAGTTTCTTTCTTTCTTTTATTTAGACAGTGAGTAGTTTCCTTCTTTTTTTTCTCTTTTTTTGTTTTATTTAGTCAGTTATTATATTCGTTATTTTTCTTTCTTTTTCTTTTATTTAGTTCTTTAATTTCCTTCTTTTTATTTGACAGTGAGTTTCTTTGTTCTCTTTCTTTATTTTTTTTATGTCGTTCATTTAGATTGTCAATGTATCCTTTCTCTTTTCTCCTCTTTACATCAATCCTCCCTTCCTCTCTTAATTCCGTCCTTATTTTCTTTCTTTCTAACTTCTTTTCTGTCTTTCTTTAGACAATTATGTCTTTTTCTCTCTTTTGTTGTTACATTTTTCTTATATTTAGATAATAAATATATTCGTCCGTTTCCTTCCTTCTTTTCATTTTTTTTTTACTTTATTTAGACTGAGTTTTTTGTTCTTTTTTCTTTCTCTCTTTTATTCTGCATTTTCTTTCTTTACTTCTTTGATTTAAACAGTGAGTTTCATCATCTTCCTTTTTCCCGCCTTCGTTCGTTCCTTTCTCCATTTTTTCTTTCCTCCCTTCTTTCCTTCCTTCTTCCTTCCTTTGTTTGTTGCTTTCATTTTTCCTTTCTTTCTTTTTTTTCTATAGTGACACCATTCGTTCGTTTTCTTTCGTTGTTTTCTTTTTTATTGTGTCCTTCGAACTGAGAGGGACCCGGACGAAGATAAGGTCACATGGATAAAGGCGTTGGTTAAATCCAGTCACAAGACCCAAAGAGTATGAGTTCAATACCTGTGTGAGGTCGTCCCCCGGTCGCAGCGCCAACTGTGACGTTCTATCCTGATCTACCACGGCGTCAGTTGTGACGTCCCCAAACAGCACCAATTGTGACGTCCTCGCCGCGGCGCCAGCTGTTCGCCCCTCGCTGCTCCGTCCGGGTGTCGCTGCTCAAAACGTGACGTCCGCCTGTCGCGTCAGTCGTGTTGTCTCGTCTTGTGACGACCAACTGGCTTGGTATCGGTCGCGGCACCTAAATGTGACGTTCTAACCTTTTGGTGATTCGGATGGGAATCTGGTTAGATTCGACATCAGCCTTGTCGTTCCCAACTCGCTTCCAACGCCTGGTTACCAAGGTAACTGCATTGATCTCCAGTCCGCCTACCCACGTTGTGAATTGATCTTAGGCAGACGAGATCAAACAGTGGTTGGGGCCGTAATGCAAGCTGAGTTCAACGGGGGTGATACTACACAAATATGTATAAAAGAAAAGAAAATGAAAACTCAAAAAGTTCAAAGTATCAAAGAAAAAGGTAACAAACTTTATGTCTAGTTGTTCGATACATAGGACTGCATCAACTTCCGACCCGTTCTGTGGATTGTGACACGTCGTTTTCCGTTAGGCAAGTTTTTTAACGCTTCAAGTTGTCTGCTCTCTAAGAAATTGGTGTTTCGGTGTGTCTTTGGACGAAAGTCGAAAAAACTTATTTCGGTGGTCTGGTTCTAAGTCGCTCTTCAAAATAATTGTTTTTGGGTTGAAGAGGAGTCCGGAATTTTTGTGAATCTTGGTCAGCTATCTCCGAGGCGGTTTCAACTGGAGACTGACTCTGGGAACTCAACTCTGGAAACTCGAGCCCGAACTCTGGCAACTCAACTGGAAAATGCCAGAGCCCGAACTGATTTCTGCCTGTTGGGGTCTCGCTTTTATTGACACCGACCAAAACCGGGGTGGTTCTGTTGGCGTCGGAGGGGGGTTCTCGATAATTCTAAATACATATCCACCTCTTTTATTTCTTGTTAGGGATTTTCCACTCTTTTCCTTTTTTGGGAACCCCTCCTCACTCCCACTTTCTCACCATACCTCTGAGGGGCGTGAACTGGCCTCCCCACTTCTTCGTAGCAGCTTCTCATACTTATACTCTGGATGGGGCCTCGACAGCCTTCTTCGTGCGTCACGTGATCACTCTCGGCCAATGAGGTCTTGGTCGGGTATCTTTCCTCCTCCTTCGTGCGTCACGTGATCACCACCTGACCAATGATATCTTAGTCAGGCGTGAACAATCCGCGACTTTGTTTTGGGAATAAAAAATATCTTGCTAATTTATCAAGATGGGTGGTATTCTTAACATGGCTTCAAAAAAGAAATATCCCCAAAGTTTTCAGTCAGTCTGTCGCCTCCAAGGAAGAAAGAAAAACACTTCTGGTTCCCCATAATTTTATTATCGCCGGCCAAAGTTGTTTCGTCGAAAAGAATTCGGTCAGCGCACTGCTTGTGTGGGATTTGATTTTTCATATCTGTCCAAAGTCCTTTTTAGTGGCCTGTTTCTCGTCACTTATCGAAATAGCATTTTCACTTGAATTTTTCCCTGGCCAGTGGTCTAGATAACACAGCCGTTATCAAAACACACCTGGTTCCTTCTTTCTTTTCCTTTTCTTTTTTACTCAGAAATTCCCTGTCATTGTAATGACACCCTTTTTCACTTGTTACTTATCAATATTTTCATTGTCTCTTAGCCGTGTGTGTGTCTGCTTATCACCTATGAATCGTCTCGCATTTCTTTCTGCCTTCTTTTCTTTCTCTTCCTTTCTCTGCCTCGTAAATGGTGCCACACCTTGTTAAGGCAGTGGAGAACTTGGAGAGGGGAATTAACAAGAGATAACTGATAACTTACATCCATTAAACATGGCACGTGGAACTAGAGCAGTCTACCCCAGCAAGCGAAATAAATGGTTCAGTTCGACATTCCAAACACCCGAAGAAGGCCAGAGAGTATAACGGCCGTAACGTTGTGATAAATATGGCAACATAGAATAGGATAGTCCGAGCAATGTAAATCTTACTTATTATAAAACGCAGATTGTGTGTGTGTGTGTGTGTGTGTGTGTGTGTTTATATATTGTATGGGATTTCCTACATTTTTCAACCAATTTCAACAAAACTTCACAGGACTACGTAAAATTACTTTGTGGTGGTTCTGACAGCGCCAAAAACTGGGAAAACACAATTGTTTTTGCACGAAATCAATTTGAAAACACTATTAAGTCGCCAGAATGAAAGGGGGACAATTCATATCGAATTATACTTATTATAAAACCCAGGTTGTTTGTGTGTGTGTTCGTTTATATATGGGATCGTATTTCCTACATTTTTCAACCGATTTCAACAAAACTTCACTTTTTTTGGGCAGGTAGTGTTTCTTATTGTCTTGCACACTTTTTTCTTTATTTTTACATTCAGAATGCTTTAAAAATCCATTTACAAGACAATTGTTTATAATAAAATTCTATTCAATCTGTAGACTCATAACGATTGAAAACAATGTTTTTGTTCGAGTTTGGGTTTGACCAATTCGTAAAAAAAAAAAAAAAAAACTAATTAAGACATGCGTGTCCGTCAACCTTAAACAATAATCTTTGTCAATTTTATTTTTCAGTCTTTATGATGGTCGATACTTGATCTATCTCTTACTGTTACATCCCCGGGCAACGACAGGCTCTACTGCTCAGAAATATAGACAGATATTGAGGGATTTTCTTCGTTCTTAATTTAGACAATGTGTTTCTTTGTTTTTTGATCTTTTTATTTCTTTTGGGCAGCGACTTGCTTCGTTCTTATTCATTCTTCCTCCCTTCCCATCTGTGTTTTTAACTTTCAGCTTGGCATTTTCCTGTTCTGTTTTTAAATATTTTCATTTCAATTCAGCTTTATCCAATTTCTTAATCCGTGTCGGTCGCTTATATAAACTTAAGAAATAAACTCTGAGATAAATGTGCCGTTTCAGACGATGAGAAACATATCGATCAGCTAATTGATTTTCTACCGTTACTAATTTAATAATATTAGATCGATATTAAATTTCATTAACGCACATACATTATTATTATTTTAAGAATTATTAACATTAACGGAGACACCGTATGGTAATGGATAGTGATTTTGATTGAGGCGTTCGAATCCAGGAACGTAAATGAATATAATTGACGCGACTGGAATTCGAACTCGGCTCTTCGATTCCTCAGTCCGAGCCGTTATCCATTACTCCACCGTGCCTAGGTCACTTTAATATTAATATTCTTTTTCGTCAGAACAATTACAGTGGAAATATTTATAGAAAAGACACAGGGAACTACGTTACGGTGGTGGAAAATTGACTTCACCCGAGATGCCAGTTTAGGACCGATAACATTGCAGATACAAATTTGGATTTTATCAAGAATCTCTAAATGTATAATCGAAGCACCAGATTCAAATTTATTCTAAGACAGATTATGCCAATAAAGAATTGTAAATAATAATCAACTGAGGATTAAGGATTATGAAGGATTAAGGGTTATGAAGGATTAATATTTTCAGGTTATTTAAAGCCTGAAAATATTTTAGATTATCAGAAATGTTTGAGATAATAACGGAATCAAGTGCGCCACAAAGATCTTATTTGTATCTTTATTAACTCAAAATTAGTGTCATGTAAGAAAGGTTCATACGTTAGGTTAGGTTTCACCCCTAAGGAAGGTAAGACGCAAACGAAAAATATTTATAGAAAATGCTGAGGGGCGCTACCTTACGCCAGTGAGAAAGTGACGGAAGACGAAATGCCAGATCAGGACCGATAACATTGCAGATTGTACTTTGTATTTTGTCCAGAATCTCTAGATATATAGGTCCCCGTCTGAATAATTACCGTGAAAATATTTAGAGAAAAAGAAGAAAGGGAGGCTACGTTACGGCCGCGGAAAAGTGAGATGCCAGATCAGGACCGATAATATTGCACATTCTTGTTTGGATTTTATCAAGAATCGATAAATGCATAATAGAAGAACCAGATCAAAAGAAAAGAAAATTACTTCGAAAAATGGAAATTTAAATTTATTCTAAGACAGATTTTGCCAATAAAGAATTTGTTATATTCCGTGCTAGTAGGACTATATACTTGAAAAACCAAGTGGATAATATAAGTAAAGGTTTATTTTACAAAACCAGTACAATAAGAATAAAGATAACAGTTATACACAAGGTCGTTGTAAGTCAATCAAGTAGGGAGTGCTACTATCGGAAGGTTAGTAGGTCTTGAGTAAGTCTGAGTCGTACTCCACAGATCCTACCTATACAATATTTACCAGCCTCCCCACGAGGTAGGATGTAGCACAAGGCCGAATTTAATGTGGGGCAATCTGAGCCCGTAGGTTCGTCCAAAAATTCCCCGTAAACTCCGCATAAACGGGTTCAGGTCTGTCTACATCTCCGGACAACAATCTGCCCTTCGGCATAGCCTCGTCCACATATGGAAAAGATTCCAGCTGGACAGTGTCTAGCAACTGTCCCACGCAGTAACAGTGGGACAAGGCCGAATTTAATGTGGGGCAATCTGAGCCCGTAGACTCGGCCAAAAAATTCCCGTAGACCCCGCATAAACAGGATTGGGTCGGTCTACCTCCGCGTACGAGACCCTACCCTTCGGTATAGTCTCGCCCGGGTTCCTCAGAGAGTTGGACCAGCACAGCTTGAAAAGATTCCAGCTAGTATATTTACTAACCTTCCCACGCGATCAGACGTCGTACAGGGCCGGGTTTAATGTGGGTCATCCGAGCCCGTAGGTTCAGCCAAAAATTCCCCTAGACTCCGTATAAAAGTGGGTAGGGTAGCTGTTTCCAGAGACGAGATTCTGCACTTCGACATAGCTTCGTCTTGGGATC